GAATTGCAATGAACACATGTGGGTTGTTTTTGCAGTCTATTATTTTCAAATTAAAATGGATTATAAATTGTTAAAATTAAAAGTGTCGCAAATATTTTTACTTAGCTCACGATAACCTTGCCTACCCAAACTTGTGGTTTCTGAATTTAGCACTTTACATGCCACAATGTTTAGCAGTAACAGCAAGCAAAAAAATTCTGTGGAAAGTATGCACATTTTGCATTCATAAAAAATAAGCCACAAGTAGTTTAGTGAATAGATCGATGCATGATATTAAAATGACAATTTGTGATGAGAGGTAAGAGGGTGTTTTAGTGGGACACGCACACATGTCCCACCGTGTTCCTCCACACTCTGGCCTTTCATCATCCGGCCCAATTTATAAAATCATAAATTAAAAGACTCAATGGAAGTAAGGGAGACCTACTGCCCTGTGCAGAATTAATCATTATACGTGGATAGATAACATGTCCCATCAAGATGTCAATGCATTAATGAATTGATAAGCAATATTTTATTTTAACAAATATTCCAAGAGATGTGGAAGAACAATGGGTTCTTCAAGTAGCGCCAGCATGAGGAATTTACCGAAGCGAAGTGAAGTTTATTAAATGGAAAGAAAACAAATCAATGTGGGGAGAGATGGCTGCCCTGCAAATGCTTCACGGTAATTTGTCTTCATTACTAAGTAAAGATGAAAGTGGACTGGAAAATTAAAGCCCTTTATGCACATCTAGTTCAACAGTTGCATCTTTTCACAAGAAGTGGTATGCAATTCTTCCAATAATCACAACCATTCGAGATGACAATCATTATCATCTCATCTGCTCCAATTCTCAAGTGTTTTTAAACAACTGTTTAAAAACGTATCAAAAAAGATGAGCAGCGGTTGACCAAAGACAGTTAACCTTCTGTTTCTTTTTAAGCCACAGGGATCAGGCAAATGATAGCACAGATGAATAGTTCCTCATTGCCGTGGTTCATAAGTGCAATATTTTGAATGCTTGGCATTTGTGGCACTATTTTAAGAAGTTTGGGCCCAGCTGAACGGCTTTCTTGGAAAATTGCCTCATTTAATTAGTCATATTGCGAGATCGCATATCATTGGCTAAAGACTACATTTAGTTAAGTCAGATTCTCTTAAATTTACCA